TGGGGTGCTAGAAAAACATAATGGAGGCCAGTGCTGCAGAATGGAGTAGGCTAGGAGGCAAGTTGGAGCAGCTACACAAGTAGAGATCATTGGGCAGAGGGATGGGCCATGGGCAGAACTTTGTGGAGAATGCCTGGGATCTATCAATCTGAAGATTGAGAGGCATTTATTTGTCATTACACCTAACAAACATTTCTTAAATGCCTACTATGTGTCTGGTGGTATGGTAGGTGCTGAGGATAAAGTGATAAGCAAAACAGACTAGACCTCCAGAGCATATGGTCTAGTGAAAGATGTACACTAATCCAATGATTACACAAGTCAGTACAGAATGACTTGGCCGTCACAATCCATAGGGCCTCCCCACAGGAACAACTATAGATTTTGACCCCATCTTGGGGGCTTTGGGGATGGTTTTCTTACAGAAGTAACAGGCAGTCTGAGATGAGAGGGGCAAGGAGGAGCTGAGCCCGTGAATTAAGGAAAAGATGTTCTTGGTTGTAAAGAATGAAAAGAACAAAGGTCCTAGCTGGAAGGAACTGGATCACAGGCCAGTGGGACCCAAGACAGAGCAGAGGGGGGCCAGAGATAGGAGAAGGCTGGAATATGGGGAGCTGGGGGGGGTGGATTTAGGGTCTCAATCTCAGAACATAGGAAGTCATTGAGAACTTCTAATCTGAGGGTGACACAGAATAGCACTGTAATTGTTTGGGGGGATCTTCCCTTCACCTTGTGCTGGGATGGAGGTAGAAGGCAAAAAGCAAGGTGCTAAGAATACTAACATTGGGGCCCGAATGAGAGAGAGTGGCTGACTGACCTGGCAGGAAAAGGGAGCATGTTAGATGTACTTGGGAAGTAATTTGGAGGCAAAAATCTGCAGTGCTCACTAAAAAGAGCAGGAGTCTGTGTGGGTGCATTTAATGGGCACACTAACAGAGAGACACTGAGTCACAGACACACTAACAGAGAGACACTGAGTCACAGACACACTAACAGAGGGACACTGAGTCACAGACACATTAACAGAGGGACACTGAGTCACAGATACACTAACAGAGGGACACTGAGTCACAGACACACTAACAGAGGGACACTGAGTCACAGACACACTAACAGAGAGACACTGTGTCACAGACACACTAACAGAGGGACACCGAGTCACACACACACTAACAGAGGGACACTGTGTCACAGACACACTAACAGAGAGACACTGAGTCACACACACACTAACAGAGACACACTGAGTCACACACACACACTAACAGAGAGACACTGAGTCATAGACACACTAACAGAGGGACACTGAGTCACAGACACACTAACAGAGAGACACTGAGTCACAGACACACTAACAGAGAGACACTGAATCACAGACACACTAACAGAAGGACACTGAGTCACACACACACTAACAGAGGGACACCGAGTCACACACACACTAACAGAGGGACACTGAGTCACAGACACACTAACAGAGACACTGAGTCACAGACACACTAACAGAGAGACATTGAGTCACACACACACACTAACAGAGGGACACCGAGTCACAGACACACTAACAGAGGGAAACTGACCCACGGACATCCTCCTGATAGATGCAGTATAGGGGTCACCTGGGAAGTTTCCTGGACTAAACAGAAAACCAAGGCTACTTTGGGGCAGGCCATAAGGCCTTATGGGAAGCACAGAGGAGAGGTGACTAGAATAATCAACTCTTCAAGGAAGAAATGAACCACAACAGTGTGGGAGAGTCAGTCACAACCAAATCTAGAAAGTTTAAGAAAATGAATGTTTTATCTTACTTGTAATACGTGCATATCATTAATTCATTTGAGAGAAATGGGGAAATTGGAACACCAGTTGAGCCTTAGATACCATAAGGAATTACAGTTCATTATGGCAGGGGTCCCAAGGACATAGACATTTAAAATAAATGCACACATGTGAATGTATACACAGGCATACATATTTAGATCTTAGAAATTTGCACAGTAAGTTATTCAGAGTGAATATATGATATTTATGGTTTAATTTTTATTTATTTTCTGTGTTTGAGTGTTTTGCTTGAATGTGTATGCACCATGTGTGTTCCTGGTGCTCGTGGAATTCTGAAGTGAAATTGAAAAGAGAGGTCCAGTCGTCTGAAACTGGGGTTGCAATGGTTGGGTAGAAAGCACTGAGCTCTGGCTGAGGAGCATCTAAAAGAAGCACTCACTGATGCCAAGGGGAGCCCGGATTTCCCCGGAGGACAGGGGCGCAGGGAAACACAGAACAAAGTGACTCCGTGGTGTCTTCTGCTTAGATGGAGCTTGCTGCCTAAGGAACAGCTGTGCAGGCAGGAACAGGAGTGAAGGCAGGGAGCAAACGAGAATGAAGAAAGCAGTAACTGATGATGTGTCCATGGAGCAGAATGACAGTGTGGTGGCTCAAGGGATACAACTGAGGCAACAAAAGCTGTTTATTTACATGTGTGTGTGTATGTTTCACGTTTGTGAGTATCATGGCACACATGTGGAGTCCAGTGGACAACCTCTACTGCTGTTCCTCCTCTTCCATCTTATCTGAGACAGGGTCCCTTGTTGCTGACAGCTGAGCTTACAGACTTCCAGCTGTCTTCCCATCTCCACCTCCCATCTTGTCATAGGAGCACTGGGATTACATCTTGGACTACTGTGTCCGGTTTCATGCAGGTCTCTGGAGATCCAAACTCAGGTCCTCGTGTTTACACCATCTGCCCTTTGCCTACACAGCCATCTCCAAGCCCCTCCATTTCTTAAAGGTTCTCCACCCAAACCCCATTTTCATTAAGTATTTATTGAGTGCCCTGGGAAATAAAGTCATGAAAACTAAGTGCCTGCCCTCCTGGAATCCTTGGTCTAGTGGAGGGGGTAGGACATAGTAAATAAATTCATTACATTGCTAAAGCCATGCAGTACTGAACTGCATCTAAAAATAATCAGGCTGAGGACTTGCAAAATGTTCTGTAGCCTTGGCAGCTCTTCTATGGGACCTGGGTTCAATTCCTAGTACCCACATGGTGGCTCACAAACCACTGTAACTCCAGTCCCAGAAGATCCAGTGCCCTCTTCTGACCTCTGTGGGCACTGCATGCATGTGGTACAGAGCCGTACATGCAGACAAAACACCCACACATTAATTATCAAAAATGAAGGGGGGAAATTGAGTTAACAGTCAAGTGGGAAACCGTGTTAGGTCAGGTGGTCAAGAGGGCTTCTCTGTGGAGGTGACTTTGAACCAGGAGACAAAGAAAATAATGATAGTTGCCACATGAGGACCCCGGGGTGGTAGTTGTGAAACATGACTGCCCAGAAAGAAACAATGAAGGTGTGTAGTGCACACCTTTAATTCAGCATTCTGGAAGCAGAGGCAGATGGATCTCTCTGAGTTTGAGGCCAGCCTGGTCTACATAGAAAGTTCCAGGCTAGCCAGGACTTCACAGTGAGACCCTGTCTCAAACAAACAAAAACCACCCCCACCCCCAAGAAACCAAAGCCAAACCAACCAAACAAAACAATAAAAAAGTAATATGCTCAAGTGAAATGAATAGACAGAAGTCTTTTTTAAAAAAAATAGCAAAGATTTATTTATTTTTGCAAAATGAGTCATTCTTGAATGCATTAAAATAACTAGAGGGACAATCCAATCAAGAGGAAAAGCTGAATTCACAAGAGAAGGGATAGTCAGTAACAATGTCCCTAGGAAGGCAAGAAAGGCTAAGGGTTTAGCCTTGGGACAAGAGGAACCAATGCTTCCTGATTCTGTTAGGGAGAAGCTACATGGCTTGTGCAGGGAGCAAGATGGCAACCACTGTGCTCACTTATGTCACCCACGTGGGGAGGAGGGTGGGCCCTAGTCACATGGCAACCACAGTTACTCATTTATGTCAGCCCTTCGGGGAGGAGAGTGGGTCCTGGGTGCTGAAGGTCTTAGAGAGGGCTAGGGACTCTTTCTGGTCACAGAAAGAGTGGAGGAGGTATTGCCATGGAGGTTGGTGACCATGCTCTGACAGGTGAAGGACAGCAGAAGACTGAGCCAGGGCAGAGGAAGTGGCTGGTCCTGGGTCAGGTGGTGTGGATGTCACCATGGGGGGAGGTCGGTGTGTCTGCCAATACCCAAGAGGGAAGTGGGTGTGAGGCCATGAACAGATGGTTTTAATGTGGAGTCTGAGAATGGTGCTTCCTGTTTCCTCAGCTCCAGATTCCCACCTCATGCTGGACCCTACAGCCTTGGCTGCCTCCTGGGTTTGAGCCCTTCGAACTCTTCTCCATCCTCAAAATATGCTATGGTTTCCAGGTCCATTTTAGAGTCTTTTGTTGACTTAAAACAAGCTGTTGATAGCCCTGTGAGATGGCTCAGCGAGAAAAGGAGAAGGAGAGACCTAGCTCTGCTCTTTCAAGTTTTCCTCTGGCCTTTCCCTTTTTGCATGTGTGTGCCATGGCCTGCCTTTATGCATGTTCACACGCACACACACACACAAATACAGAAATGCAGAAAAGCCTTTTTTGATGAGCAAGAACTTCCCAGCCCCCACAGGAGGGGGAGGCGGTGGCTCGCTAGACTGAGTAGGCAAACATCTCCAAATGCTGCACATGGGTTCCTCCAGGCTGGGGATTTAGACAAGACAGGAGGAAAGCATGATGGATGGAGGCCAGGCCTAGAACAGTGTTGTTAGGCCAAGGCCCACTATCTTCACCCCTCACATAAGGTGCCTCCAAAATAGCACGAGGGTGTCTTGATGCCACCTCATTTCAGTGCCTTTTACCCACCACTGTGTGTCATGGACTGGCACTGGCACCCATAAGCCCCTCCCCCAAAGCCATCAGATCTTCAAAGGCACCGGCTGCACACTGATTCTGGGCTGCTCTGACCAGCTGCATCTGTTAGTAGCAGCCAACAGAGGACTATGTGAAATCAATTCCTCTGGGGACTCAGAAACTCGGGCCGCACTTACAGCTCATCCTTTCTCCTTTTAGCTTAACTCAGGTGATCCGAAAGTTTGCCAAGCAGCTGGACGAGTGGCTGAAAGTGGCTCTCCATGACCTCCCGGAAAACCTGAGAAACATCAAATTTGAATGTAGGTATTTAGTTTGCAAGCAGCACGGGGTGAGGGCAACATTTCAAAGCCACTCCTTTCACGTGAGTCATTGATGAAGTAAGACTGCCTAGGAAGCACCAGGGGTTAGGCTAAGTACTTCCCATGTGTAAACTCATTTAATCCTTGTAAAATGTTTGTTGCAGCAGCACAGAGAAGGTTCTCAGACCTAGGTAGTAAATAGCAAAGACAGGATTTATTCCCAGTGTCCCCGACTGATTCCAAAGTCATCCAGTGAACACAATACTCCCAACTCCATTTAATACTATGACAGGCACCACTATGTGGTAGGACATAGTGCCCCTGTCTACAGGTGCAGAGAGGCAAAGAAACATTCCCAAAGCCACACAGCCACACAGCTGGTGATTGGGAGACACAAATCAAACTGTTGTCAATGCTCTGAGATTTTCTTGAAGCTGCTGTCCATGAACAGCTGTAGCTAGTTTAAGAGCCTCACATATTCTCTGCCTAATTAGAAAGCCAAGTTAATATTTCTTATACGGGAACTGGAGCCATGAATCTTTTCTTGGCTAAGTAGTGTCTTGTCACCCCAACATTTAGCCGAGTCTAAGAAGGCTGGCTCCAGTTTTCTCTTTATGGCTCTGAGCACAGTGAAGACTCGTATACAATACATGTGTTGCTATCGAACAAAGATGAGATGATTTTAAGCAAAACAAGGTTTTAAAATATGTTTCTTAAAGGCCCGCTTGAATACAACTTGCAGTCCTTGCCTCAAACAAGTTCCAGTGGGGAAAATGAAGGCGATCAAATTACCCTTTCTCTGCAAGCAAAGAAGCCCTTTGAGACGCTTTGAGGCCGCCTGCAGTGCCCATCACCTATTGATAAAGCCTGCTTTATTTCACGGCTCTCAGTTCTTTTCTTTTCTCCAGCACTGAATTCCACATCACAAAGTTAAAGAAAAAGTAATTAAGGAGCAGGATTAACAATTGATCAGCCTGGAAAATTAGAAGTTCATCTCCCCGCGCACACACAGCCCCACCCCCATCCTCCACCCCACACACTATTTTTTAATCCAAGCCAACTCTGAGTACAAATTAGAATAATCCTGGGGAAATTTCTGACTATTTCATGACAAGTTCAGAAATTAATGAGAAGAATGTCCGTGCCTGTTTTAATTCCAGCAACAAAACAAACCCGTTCAAAGTCTGCAGCCAGGAGGAGGAGGTGGGCTGGGCCTTCCACCAGCAACAAAACAAACCCGTTCAAAGTCTGCAGCCAGGAGGAGGAGGTGGGCTGGGCCTTCCACCTGCGCCTGCTTGGAAAAAGTGGTCCTCCCCAGGGGGCCTGAGTGTTTGGAGACTGTGCAAGAGCATGGAAGCAAACACTCCCCACACCCAGTGCAAGGCTGGAAGAACAAGGCCATGAACAGGAACATGTCTTTTTAAAAAATCGCCAGGCGTTGGTGGCGCACACCTTTAATCCCAGCACTCGAGAGGCAGAGGCAGGCGGATCTCTGTGAGTTGGAGACCAGCCTGGTCTACAGAGTGAGTTCCAGGCAGCCTCCAAAGCCACAGAGAAACTCTGTCTCGAAAAACAAAAACAAAACAAACAACAAAATCCACAGATATATGGTCCCTTCACTTCAAATTATCAGACCTCTAGGCCAGATAGGCAAACAGCTTTTCCTAAATCAGAACCCACAAATAGATCCCAGAGGCCCCAGAGGCCATTTGATAAAAGCCAAATTACCTTGTGGGGTAGCCCAGGTTCCATGCAATAGCACCCCTGACCACACAGCACTGAGGTCAGTCACGGTTCTGATGAGACACAGTGTGTTTTAAAGGGCTTCTTCAAAGCTTTCATTTGATTCCTGTGATTATGTGGAAAGTGGTGATTGAGCTTGCAATTAGCAAAATGAAAGACGAGTGAATAATTGCTTTTCCTCACAGCTGGTTGATTCCACCATTTCTCACACCTGCGAGTGTAGCATGTTCATGACTTTGAAATCTATACACTAAATATCATCATTAGGAAATGGCTGTTGGAGCCAAAACAGGACAGGAGTCAGATGCAGGCATCTGTACCTAAAAACAAGGCAGGGCAGTGAGGTAAAGTTAGAAATTAAGAACTACTTTTTGAAATCTGCTCCTGGTCGGAATATCAAGCATGCAAATGTTTCTAGCTTCCTGTTTTCTTGTTGCAGTATCAAGAAGGTTTTCCCAAATTCTGAGAAGGCAAACATCGCTGAATCATCTTTGCCAGGTAGTTGTCTTCTCTCATTTATTAACATACTTCTTAGTCATTGCAAAGGACACAGGCTTCATCCACAAGGATAACTTCCTGTGGCGTCAATCTGGTGGCATTACAGGGTTGGCTCTCTTTTGTATTTAGTTTCTATACATAGGGAACTAAAAACCTCAGGCCATTACTAAAGATATAACTTGTATACAGAATCATTTCTAACAGCAGTTGCCTGTGAACCTTTTGGATATTGTCTGGATTCCCAATTTTGCGTTTCCCTGAAATAAAATGCTGGGTTTGTCAGCTACTATTGACACTTGGAGGTGCAATTGTTTATGCAACACCCTTGGCCTCTCCCCCAGAAGATGCCAGTTGTCTTACTTACTCAGTATGACACTTGAACACCCTAGTTACATACAGAAACCCTTCAAGAAGTAGCAGCTTGCCCAGAACAGCATGTAACCGGGGCAGTAGTGGGCGTTCAGCAAGGATGGCCATTCCTCCATTCCTCTGTCAGAGTTCTCTGTCTAAGTTGATGTACCTCTCTGGTTTGTCTCAAGTGCCTTTACATGGTCTGATTAGCAACCACTCCAGTGGTCAGATTAGCAACCACTCCAGTGGTACCATTTGGCTCTTGGGAGATCCTGGTTATGCAATGACAAGGAAGGAGGTAAGGTTTTCTAATTCAGAGTGGTCCAAGGAAGGCTCCACCTTGGACTCCTCACACCTCTCACTGTTCTTATGCTGTGCCTGTCACTGAAGGCACACGGGATGGCTTAGGAACAGAGGGAAAGCCTTCTAGATTGGGGCAGCTGTGACAGATGCAACTCCTGGGCATTGCTCTGGGGAGAGTCTGACAGATGAATGGAACTTGGGGAATAACATGATTATTAACACACACACACTCTCTCCACCTTGTACACACAGAGCATGGAATTCATTCAGGAAATAGCACCTTTCCAACCTCACTAGACATATTCCTGGACCAGCCAGAACTCCGAATTGGTACTAATTCTGGGAACGAAACACAATGGTACATTTGAGCTAACAAACCAATGAGCTTTCTGAAACACATAAACTGAGCAAGTCAGATTAAGTAAGACCCAAAGAGAGGTCCCTCCATACAGTCGGACACTAACCAGGCAGCTACCTAGCACTCATCTCACCACTCATGTCCCAAAATCTTTTTGAGTACCTACTGCATGCCAGACACATAAAGTGGTACCTATCTTTGCCAGGAAAACAAGTCAATAAATTAATGAATAAATAAATATGCATGTTATGAAGAAAATAGGCTAGAAATAGGAAAATACCAAATATCAAGTATTTAACTGGGCTAGATGGGTTGGAGAAGGGCTCTCCATGTGTGTCACATTGAGGCTGAAGCATCAGGAAGGCAGAGCTGCAGGGGCATGGTGGGAGAATAATGTTTTAATGTTTTAGTCCATGGGAACACAGGGTGTCAAGACTTCCAAGTGTGAGCACAGTCTGTGCAAAGCAAGCCAACCTCAGCAATGACAGTGTGTCATGAAGCCTTGTGCCCAGTCTATGAGCTATGCTTTACAGCCATCACAAGGAACAGAAGGCAGGCACCACTGTGTCTCAATTTCACAGACAGACCCGGGGAACAAGTAGCAAAGCTGGGGCAAGAGCTAGGTATGCTTGAGTCCACAACACCCAACCTTCATGTTCTGCGGTGTTCATGGTCAGAGACCAGGTGTGTTCAAACAGTCAGACATTCAGTGGATTTGACTTGTGCCTGAACAGAGGATATCAGGGGCTCTAGTTACCACTGCCTGGAAGTTCATAAGCCTTAGAATTATAGACCAAGGATGTCCTTGAGTGTTTCCAATTTTTACAAAAATTTTATTAGAAGATGTTTTTGAAATCATAAGTAAAAGAAATAATCCTATATATCTTTTCTTTTTCTCTTATTAGTATTACTCCAGCTTGTAAATCTCAGTTCACACACACACAGAGAGAGAGAGAGAGAGAGAGAGAGAGAGAGAGAGAAAGAGAGAGGGGGGAAGAGAGAGAGGAAGAGAGAGAGAATGTACCTGTTATCTCAATGTCTTCTATTTTTTCTACCTTATTCATGTTTTTCACTCTCCTAATTATATAAAAATAAACACAAAAGATAGGAACCCAAATGTGTACTACATTTATGTGATAAATATACATTGTGAAATTTCTAGGTACCAGTTAGGCCCAGGGTGGCCAGAACAGTTCCTCAGTGTGGTCCTGTCACTTTTCTGACACTGGAGACACACAGGTTTATTAAACACAGAACTCCTTTCTACCAGCTCAAGCCAGAAAGCTACTAGATCTCTGGGCCTCATTCCATTGTTTGTTGGGGTCAAAACCAAAGGGACTGGGAACAACAGCAGGGTGTGGCCTGGCCCAGGCCACCTTAGTGGAGAAGAAGAAGGGAGATGAGAAAGCTTCAGGGAAAAAGAGTCTCTCTGAATTTTCAGAGTTAAGGGATCACCACTGTTTCTTGAAATTGAGCTTGCCCAGATTTCAGAGTAAATTACAAAATTCAATAAGCATACCCACTCAGGAGGCACACAGGACCGAGAGGAGGGTTTTTAAGTGGACAGCTTGTGTGCTGACAAGTCGGTTGGGTTGGATTACAGGCATCTCGAACAGTGATCCACAGTGCAGACATCACGTTCCAGATGCTGGAAGACTGGAGGAATGTGGACCTGAACAGCATCACCAAACAAACTCTCTACACCATGGAGGACTCCCGGGATGAGCACCGCAGACTCATCATCCAGTGTAAGGTGTCCCACCAGGGGTGTAGTCCTTCTGTTTCTGTTTTTAAAAGAAAAAGGGAGAAAGTACTTTGACAAATGTTCAAGTGCTATTCCCGCCCTGTCCCCTTCCCCGGATCCCATTCTTCTTATTGTTCCTACTAAAATGGGTTGGCCCAGACAGGAGGTGAACCTACTTAAGAGGATATGTGTCACCATGGCTGATGCAGTTGGGCAGCACACAATGTCATACAAAGGACCCTGCATGTGACCCTGAATGCCATGCAGTGAGTGACAGAGAAAATAGGAACTGGAACTTATGGCCTGCCTTGGTGTATGTTGGTATACAGACAGTTGGATGTGCCGTCCATGTGTCAGTGGAAGGTCATGTGACCATGAGTCAGCCTACCCCCCACTCCCCTCCACGAATATGAATGGGTGGTGAGCTACTTCTGGCTTCCTACAAGCAAGTAATATTCCAGTGCTAGCAGCCCTGATGTGGGCAAGATGTTTGCTCCCAAGAGTGAAGCAACACAAGGGGACAGAAAATATCACCCATCACCTTTAGACACCTCTGTTCCTCCTCTGAGCCTTGGCCCAGCTGATTGCTCAGGGCATGCCTCTCTTTGGTCAGCCATCCTTTCCTCTGAAGGGCAGCAGGGCGCATGCTCTCAGAGATTCCAGGGTGGTGCTGAGAGTACACTGAACCTTCTGTGTGGGGTAAGTTACATTGTCACCCAATGCCCACCAGGAGAAGGTGTCTATTCAGAAAAGCCCAGGCCCCTCGACTTGCAGGGCCTGCTCCTCCACACTATTGTCCTGGAGTCCCTGTCTTCTGCCAGTCGGTCTAAGCCTGGGCTGTTTATGAACCAACATTCTGAGACTCCCTATCAGAGGGTGCTTCCTTTTAAGGCCTCTCAAAGGCAAACAGAGCCCTAAATAGCAGAGCCTGTGGACATCCATGAGACTTACTTCCTGGGTTTAGACCATGGCCTTAACTCAGGTTCTTAGTTCTTTTCCTGCACAGTTTCCCCATTGTCTACTGTTGCATCTTAGCAAAAACCACTGAAATAATAATGGAGTTTATCAGCTGCCTGTTCTCTGCCAAGTGCCGTATCAAACCCACATGTATAATAGCTTCACATCCACATTAGGGACAGTTCTTGGGTCACTCCCATTTTACATTTGAGAAAACTCAGCCCCAGAGAGTTGATGGGGCTTCCCCAGGGTCCTGTGGTCACCATGTAGCAGTGCTAGACCTTGAACCTAGAACTGAGTCAGCCTCACAAGCCCAGGGCAGCTCCTGTTGTGAAGGAGCAGGCGGAACCAATGCTGTAAAAATGTGGTTGAGTTCAAGAGGGTACAGGATCTGTCTAAGCACTGTTATGACTTCTGTTTGTTTCCATTGTGTGTGTGTGTGTGTGTGTGTGTGTGTGTGTGTGTGTGTGTGTGTGGGGGTGTGCCCATGTGTGTGAGTGTGTGTGCATGTGGGTGTGTGCCTGCATGTGTCTTGTGTGGGTGTGTGCGAGTGTGTGTTCTTGTGTGCTCAAGTGTGTGTGTATGCACATGTGTGCATGTGCATGTGTGTGAGTGACTGTGTGTGTATGTAGCTGCACATGCACCACAGTATGTGCGTGTGAGTGTCTGGGTGTGTGTGTGTAGTTGCACATGCACCACAGTATGTGTGTGTAGCACAGAGGACAGCCTCAGCCTTTGCCTTTCAGCCTTGTTTGAGGCAGGGCCTCTTGTCTGTCACTACCTACACCAGGTATGCTAGTTAGGGTCACTATTGCTGTGATGAAACACCATGGCCGAAGAGACTTGGGGATGAAAGGGCTCACATTTCCACACTGTAGTCCACAATTGAAGGAAGTCAGGACAGGAACCTGGAGGCAGAGCTGATACAAAGGCCATAGAGGTAACACTGCTTACTGGCTTGTTCCCCAAGTCTTGCTCAGTTTGCTTCTTATAGAACCCAGGACCATCAGCCCATTGATGGCACCACCCATAAGGGCCTGGGCCCTCCCCCTGTCAGTCACTAATTCAGAAAATGCCTTACAATCAGACCTTAGGGAGGCATTTTCTCAATTGAGGCTCCTGCCTCTTAGATGACTCTAGCTTGTGTTAAGTTGACATAAGACTAGCCAGAACATCAAGATAGCTGGCTTTTAAGCTCCTGGGAAGTCTCTTGTCTCTGCCTCCATTTCCCTATAGTAGTGGTGAACTTAACAGCTGTGTGCTGCCCAACACACAACTCTCTCTCTCTCTCTTTCTCTCTCTCTCTCTCTCTCTCTCTCTCTCTCTCTCTCTCTCTCTCTCTGTGTGTGTGTGTGTGTGTGTGTGTGTGTGTGTGTGTGTTTTAGTGAGAGTGATAGGGACCCAGACCTGCACCCTTAACTTTACTCACTGAGCATCTCCCCAGCTTTCAGGCTGATTCTAGCTCTGTCCCCCCATTCTCAGCTAGGTCAAGAACATCCTAATAGCCCATGGGATGTCACTGGTCACTGTGTTCCAGGCCTCCCAATGGGCCAGGCATGGAACTGCATCTAATAATGTCTGAGGAGCAGAGACCCACCAGTGACTCTGCTTCTCAGTTTTGGCACCACTGACAGTTTTACACTGGCTTCTCTCTTCCCTTAGAGCCTCTTGTGGGAACTAAATGTGAGCCAGACTTTGGGGAAAATACAAGCTGCAGAGCTAGTTGAAGGGAGGAGGCTCTGAGCCTGTGCTGGAACACCACGGCCATCACTGCTGCCTCCATCTCTAAGAAAGAATCTTTGGGTTCTCTTTTCAAGTTCCTTTAGATGCAGCATAGAATGGTGTCACTTGAATCTAGAATTAGATTGTAGTTCAGTTCAGCCCAGCTGGCCCTCACTGATGTCTATACTGGATCAGGCTCTGTGTGAGAAGCTGGGTAATGACTAGGATAGACACTGCCCTTCTGACACAGCCCAGAGTCCATGGTGAGTCCAAAGCTGATATACAGCTGCACTTGAGGACATAGGATGCAATGTCAGAAAGGAGAGTTTGAGCCAGTGTGCCAAGCCAGAAGGCAGATGGCCTAGTCTTACCTGTACCTCCCAATAGACAAGAGCAAAGTCTGTGAAACACAGAGAATGGGCCTGGGAGTCAGTCTGAGCAGGGCTTGGGGGCACCTACATGCTGCACATCACCTTCATTAAAGCTAGTTGACAGATCTGCAAATTCCTGCTGTCAGGGTCACCATTGCATGACATAGAGCCTGAGTAGGGATGCTTGGCTCCCTTTAGCTCTTACATATATTGGTATCTGAGCACACCACCAGAATGAGGATTAAGGGGTGCCTTAGGAAAAGGGTGGGGTTGTTTACCCCCAAAGACCTTGCTGGAACCTTGGGAATGCCTAGAGATCATGATTTCTAGTTCTGTAAGATGAGACTAATGCAGAGGGGTTAAACAAGAGTAAGCACCACACTTAGTGCACAATGGAGTGCTCCACAGCAGAGAGCTCCACAGCAGAGTGCTCCCGAAGGCAGTGGTTAGGAGGCAGATGCATGAGCAGAGCTATTTGGAATCTTAGCTGCTGTTTATTAGCTATAAAACATTTGGGTGGGTCCTCATTTTGAAGTGCCTCAGTTTCTTTATTTGCAGATGGGAAAAATGAGAACACTTTCCTCCTTGGGTTGTCTGTCCACTCATTCAACAACCAGCTATGTATCTACTCTGTACAAGGTAGTCCTAAGCACTGGAGTCAAAAAGGATGAGCGGCACAGCCAGCCCCCATGACATTTACACTTGACTTACTGCAGCCATGTAAGTCACTGAAGAGAATGCCTGGAACTTAGTAAGTGCTCCAGAAAGTTAGCTGTTGCCATTTTTACTATACAACCATTATCGCCCCCACTGGCAATCAAAGACACACCTATGACTCTAGGCTCTGCTGTGTAACTCACTTGCTTTCTGGCTTTGAGTCAGTTCATTAAGGAATAGAACCTTGTACTAAGGAATAGAAACTTGTCACTTTTCCCGTCACAGGGGTAAAATACCCCCCAATAAAGCCAATGAGTTCATTTGGACTCACAGTTCATCATGGTGGGGTAGTCATGGCGACAGGAGCTTGAAGTGGCTAGTCCAGGGTCAAGAAGCCAACAGTGATGAACACTTGTGTTCAGCTTGCTTTCTTCTTTTTGTTCAGTTCAGGACCCCAGCCCATGGAATGACACCACCCATAGCTAAGGTGGGTCTTCTCACCACAACTAACCCAAGCTAGATAACGTCTCAAGGCAGGCCCAGAGCCCTGTCTCCTAGGCAATTCTCCATTCTGTCAAGGTGACAATATTAGCCACCACACACTTCTTCTATAATCTGAGAAGATTAATGTACTTTTAAAGCCCATCTTTATGCTAAGCATTGGGAGTGTTTGGTTCTGCAAAGAGTCATCAAACAAGCAAAATAGAGTGAATTGGGCTGGCCTTTTCACATGTGAAAACACTGCGCAGATGCGTTGAAACAAGAGAAATGTACAGGTCTTGAACTGTGAGCACCATGTCTAAACACCATGAAAGAGATGTTTGTGAGGAGAGTGTCCCTAGCCATGTACCTATTTCCCATAGTGCTTCACTGATATGCAAACACTCCCACACTTACTTTCCTAACCTGAAGCTGAAGACAGGGCAGAGAGAAGATCAGATGGTTTCATTTGATTAATATGCAATAAGTACACATGCCTAGCACTGAGAGGCTGGGTAAGCTACTTACATAATATAGGTGTAATCCAGAAACAGTGGGATCATTGCTCATGCCCCATTCCTGGGCAGACAACAAGAGATGGTGATACCCCAGCCTAATGGTTAAGCAAGGCTTTCTAGGATAACAGCTGTGGCACAGATAGTGCATCAAACAATGACTCGAGAGAAGAGCCAGCAACAAGACCTGAAACCTTAGTAGCTATTGGCCAGTGCTATTAATGATATAGTAAAGACAGACTGAAGACAGCAATGTGCTATGAGGGGTGTGAGGGGGAGGGATGCTGTTTCTGCTGGTGAGAGGCAGAGGGAGGGCTGGAAGGACTTCATCTCAGCTGGGTCATGAAGAACCATGCAGCCCCATCCTCTGTGCCTTTAAGGATAAACCACTGTGGAACTACAACTTGAGTAAGGTGTGTGGGGTTCTGCTTCATTTACAGTGTACCAGGAGTTTGACCACCTGCTGGAGGAGCAATCGCCTATCGAGTCTTACATAGAATGGCTGGATACCATGGTAGACCGATGCGTTGTGAAGGTTGGTAGGCAGAAGGGAAGGGGCGACCATGCCTCCTGCAGATGGTTGGTTGTCCCTGTAGACACCTAACTAGCATAGAACCCCAGAGTGAGCTATCTGATGTCCCTCAGCATCCACAGAGCTCTGGGGTTGCAAGGAGAAGACCTGGCCCCAACCCTGGGAGGTAGAGGGGACAGAGAAAGAACTCTTATTTGGTCTCCTGTTCCTGATTCACCCAGGTATGCATCCCTTACTCGTCCCTTATATAGCATCTTCTCATCAGGTTTTATTAAGTGTGTTTATGCTGCTAAAACCAAAAAGACAAAAAACAAACAAACAAACAAACAAAAAACACTGCTTCACAGGCTTGAACTTGAAGGTTACAGACCTTCCCTCATTTTTCAGAGCCAATAATGAATGAAGAACTGAAGTATTAAAGCCATTCACTTGCTTGTAGGTGGCTGCCAAGAAACAAGGGTCCCTGAAGAAAGTAGCGCAACAGTTCCTGTTGATGTGGTCTTGCTTTGGTACAAGGGTGATCCGGGACATGACCTTGCACAGTGCTCCCAGCTTCGGTAAGGCTATGCCAGTCACACACACACACACACACACACACACACACACACACACACACACACACACACTGTCTAACCACTTTTCTGGACTCTGTGCACTGAGACTGTGGGGTTATTCACGGTCTCACCTGCTATCTCTGAGGCCACAAGGACATCAGTGTGAAGTTATCTGTGGGGGTGGGACACAACTCTGCTAGGTTATTCAGAGAGCAAGATGGCATGGAATGCTAAAGGAGAAGTGGCAAAGCAGCCTGTGTGAAAATAAGAGGTTTGCTGACCGAGAGACCTGCCAGCATTTAAGGAGGTATGGGTGGCAGTAGCCAAGTGCCCTTCGTCACATGTCCCCAGTGTCTACCACTTCCAAAGGACGGTCTGCAGAATTCCACAGCTCTGGGCATTCTAACACTGGGCACAGACAGGCCCCTGAATTTAAGCCTTTGCAAATGGCCTGACTGACACCCTAGGGTTATTTACTGCTGTTTTTCATTTACGCTTTTTTTCATTTGTCCAATGATTGACTTTTGATGTTTTGATTGATATTTATTCAAAAATGCACTCTAGCTTACTCTGTAGAAGAAGGCTTTTGCATGTCCCCTTTTGTTTTCCTGATCCCTTGGATCACCCCCAAGTCCTCACTTACTACTCCCCACAGTGTGTGAGGTCTATCTCCAAGTCCTATCTCTGCAAGCAGAAACCTGGTCCCCAACTCGGTTAAGATATTATGCTTCCTGCAGGACACAGTTGCCTGCTTTTCAGCAGAGAGGATATATGTTGGAGTCCATACTGTCCATAGCAAGGGGGTGGACCTGGAAAGATGTTGCCTAGATATTCAAAATTCCAAAACACTGCCCTCTGTTTTCCGGCATCTCTACCAGGGACAGTTGGTAAAGTTTCTGGGTAATTGCTTCCATGATGTCTTTCTCTGCAAATATAAATGTGATTTTGCATCTCATAATTTCAGGTTAAGCCAATCAATTGGACACTTTCCATCTAACTTTTTACAGAATTGTCACAATTTCCCAGTTGTGTCATATAATGAAGTGTCAGTGTGGTAGACACAGGGGTGTTATTTAGGATCTGCTATTTCTTCTTTATTGAGTAAAGAGTTGGCCTACTCGGACATTTTGTTGGTTATTTCTTTCACTTCAGCCCTGGGGTTCTCTGAACCTGACCATGCTTCAGCTACAGATGGAAACTCTCTTTGAGCAGAGCATGGGAATGCTCTGATGACCGCTGCCTGGGCAGTGCCATCAAATGTGGCATTTTGATGACTTCCAGTCCATTGTGGTGAGCGTTAGCACATGTTACCTATAGCGCTGGAAAGATCATTTGTGCATAACTGCTTTTAATTAGGCAATGGATGAATGGTATCTTAAGATTTTTTATTGCTTCAAAATCAGAGATTCAACCATTTTCCACACAAACACATGCGTGCACATGGACAGAGAGGAACCTCTACTCCTTGCCATATCGCTTATCCTTCCATTTGCTGATCCGTGAAATAAGCACTTCACTGACCACCTCCCATTATGCAGGGATGGCAGTTTCCTTGGCATTATTCTTTGTAGTTCATTTGTTTGGGCTGATTTAATAATCAGTGTAAAAATGGAAGCCTGGACAGAACAATTGTGGTTTATTAATGCCTTGGATTTCTTCCTGAAATGTACAAGTCATTAAAATGGGTATAGTGTGTTCATTTCTTTTCCAATCACACTGTTTCAGGATGTGCTGGAAACTGGGGTAAATGGCAAGTGTGTGTGTGTGTGTGTGTGTGTGTGTGTGTGTGTGTGTGTGTGACACACACACAGTGAAAAGAGAGGTGTTAACCCAATTTCACTCTTACAGTATTCTTCTCAGCCTTGAGTAGGTTGAAACAATGCCTGCCTCTAAGGCCATTCAGCAAACTCTGAAATGGTCCAGCTCATCTGACTCATCGTTGAGTTCTGCAGCTTGGGGCGACAGGCAAGTTGAAAGCATGTTTGGCAGACCAAAGCCCAGCTCCCTGTTTCTGCCTGTATATGTCAAAGACCCAGTTAGTGGCTGTTTGGGTCATGCGTTTTCTGTATGAAAACAGCTAATTAGGAAAAAGAACCCTCTGTTCCCTGGCCCCTACCCCAGCTGCAGGGACCAGCTTTATGTATCTTACCTGCATGGTCCTCGGTATGGGGAATAGTGTGGGGTTCGTCCGAGTGCCAGCATGGCAGGCTGGCCATTACAGTGGGCTCGTAGAATACCTCACAGGGCCCTGGCAAACTCTTTCTCCTCCTCTCAGAGTAACCCTTGGAAAGGTAGTTGACACCTTCTTTCTGCTTGATTACTTTTCAGTTTTGTCTCCATGATTACTTTTGCTGAGTCTAGGGTTTGATCTAGAGCAGCCAGACTTTGTGCTGTAAACAGTGTCTCTAGAAGTTTGCAGAAATGACAGGTGACAAGGTCCTGGTGATGTTGGACAATTGAAAGCTTCTGTCTTAAGGCAGATCTGATTCCAGTTCAGGGACACCTGAGTCTCCAGCCAGCACAGCAACCTTCTCCCTTCCATTGTGGATTTTCACCAAATGTCCATTTATTTTCCTGCTGTGGGTGTCCAGAAGGCAACAGCAGTTGCTGGCATACTCCAGAACAAACCTATCTGAAAAGTCCAGCATTACAGTGGATGGGCAGGGCTGCATACCCTTCCACATATCACTTTTCTACACGATAGTTTTGTGGTCTAGCATCAAAGCTCACTCTCTTGGGCCAGGTCTGGAAGGCCCCGTGGGCATTTGTGATGGAGTGGTTTCCAGACCTGGTGGCTGTGATGGAATCTTCCAAATTGCCTCTCTACACTCAGGTGCCCTGGCTCCCCATTACCCAGAGCCTGCTAAACACAAAGACCCTGATGTTGTTAGTGTCACTTGAGAGAATGAGTTTCCTTCTCCACCTCTATCCCCACCCCCATAGGCCCAAAGAGAAGGAGGACTTGCACAAGAGACTGAGTTTTCCCAGGGACAGGGCATCCTTCTCAGCTCAAGTGTGTGCCCTTTCCTGTACACTGTCCTGACCCACCTGTCTTTCTCAGTTAGATACCAATGGGAACTATGACCCAGTATTTATGAAGAGTCTAAGAGATTTTAGACATCACATCAGCATTTTTCTATTGCTTCCTTTTGTGTGTCTGGGGTGGAAGCTGGGGTGAACTTAATAAGGGCTTCTCAGAACTAGACATGTAATAAGGCAAACAGAAGCCAATAATAATTATCTTCACAAATATTTAGCAAAAATATAAGATCATTATTTCTTACTTCAACTCCACAAGGCAGAAGAACACACAGAGTGGGAAGGGAGCTTGTTGAATTTCTTTGCCAAGATCAGGGAGATAGAATGGCAGAGCTCTGGCTCAAAACCCATCCACCTGACCACATTCATTCTGTCACCACAGTCACCAGATCAGGCCCATCTGCCTGACCACACCCATTCTATCACCTCAGTCACAGAACTCAGATAAATGGCACAAAAGGGCTAGATGACTTTATTTTATCCACACTGATGGTTTTAAATTTATGGATTAAGATTTTTTTAATTTAAATGATGAGAGAAAAGAATAAACATTAGACTGTTAAAAATACTTGCAGATGCCTGACAACAATGGAATGATATATTGTAAGTGCTGAGAACAAAAAATTGTCAACTTACTCAAGAGCGAGGCCTACAGAAAGTCATATTCAATTATATAAAGACCAACAGAATTTGACATCCTCATAAATGCATCAAAAAGCAAAGGATGTCAAAGAATGTACTTTAGCAAGAAAAAAAATACAGCACACAAGAAACAGCCATTTTCCAATTATCACTGCTATGTAACAAACTGCCCCAAAGCAGAGAGGCATGAAACAGCCATCATCCAAATTCTTGTGATCAGTACCAATGGTGACTCTTGGGCCTGTATGTGACCATCCTCTATGTGACAGGTCCCAGATACAGGGTACCTTTCTTCACACTCTTTTTGTTCAAGAGCTCCGGGCTTCCTTTCACCTAATCTTTACTAATGTACATGAGAGAAAAATTTATGTAAACAAATCTAACTACCTAATTCTTTCTACATTTATTTGTTATTTGTGTATGTGAGGAAGGGTGGTGGGGGGAGGCATGCATAGTGATGTCCTCAAACTAATCTTTATGTGTGTTATTTACAAAGGTAGAGCCAAGTTTTAGGGGAAAATATATAACATGGAGTAATGAGAAGTGAATGCCGAAGGGCAATTAAAACATTAGAGGCCTTTGTCTCTACTACAATTAGTAAATAATCAGATTCTGTCGGGATTGTATATCTATCCATATATGTTTTCATAGTAAACATGTAGAATGTATGTTTAGGATGAATTAAGGGATTATCACCATGACAACATAATCATAATTTGCAAGGGGAAATGGAATGCTATGAATATTTAAGAGATGGCAAGAACTGAGGAGGTGAAGAAGGCACAGAACATAGGTGGTAAACTGAAGATCAGAACAAGACATAGAAACTATGATCTGAATAAGTGAGGAAGCCTCTATTCCTGGGAAAACAGCAGGCAAAAATATTTTAAGAGGCAAGATTTTCTAAATTATATGAGATAATTTATGAAAACCCCTACTTACAAGAATCAAAAACAAAACTGAAAAGCAATAGCATCCATTTTATGAGGGAATCTCTATTTCAAACCTCAAGAGTAGTAGAAAAGACCATTGTGAGTCAGCTTTGTTTCCCAGGGGTGAAAACACTACAAGACCTCATTCCAGGCTGTTTTGTTTGAGACGTTCTCTCTCTGTGTAGCCCTAGCTGGCCTGAAATTCTCTCTATAAACCAGGCTGGCATCAAACTCACAGAGACACCTACCTCTGCCTCCTGAGTGCTGGGATTAAAAATGTGTGCTACCATGCCAAGCCTTTTCTTTTATTAACTCATGATTAATGGTGGGTGAAGTGTCTGGATGAGTAGGTGAAGGTGCTTTCGGCCAAATCTGATGGTCTGAGCTTGATGCCTAGGACCCACATGGTGGACAGAGAGCTGACTTGTAGAAGCTGCAAGCTCAAGTCCAGATGCGGTGCACAATGAGTTCAAAGCCAGCTAGAGCCACATGTGGAGACGGGGGTGGGGGTGGGGGGGTGCCTTCAAGGAAAAAAATTATAGTTCAAATTTGGAAAGTTCAATCCCCCCAAAAGATGTTAATTTTCTTTAATGTGTAAATTCAATAGACTTCCAGCTCACATCTCCAATATGTCTGAGTATAATAACCTGATTCTTAAACTCATATGGAAACCTAAAGAGCTAGGAGAGTGAAGACACTGTGAAGGGAAGGCTCGAGAGTCAGGTGTAGGTACATGCTCAGCAGACTCTAGTTGATTACAAAGCAAGACAGTGTGGCGTTTGACACTGATAGACAAATGAAGAAAACCTCAGAGGCCAAAGGCAGATTGTCAGGAGCAGGGCCTGTCACCAGCCCATCGGATCCACGTGCCCCTGGTGCTGAGAGACTATTGATGAATCAGGAGTACGATTCAGACTAGCGGGTTTCTGAGGCAAGTATTTTAGGGTGATTAAGATAAAATTAAATGCCCCAAATTCCAAAAGGAAACATCTACATGAAAAACAGTAACAATGACAAAAATAATCCTAAAACTTCTTTAAAAAATAGGAAATGAGCCATGGTGGCACATGCCTTTACTCCCAGCACTTGGGAGGCAGAGTCAGGTGGATTTCCGTGAGTTCAAGGCCAGCCTGGTCTACAGAGCTAGTTCCAGGAGAGCCAGCAGGACTGTTACACAGAGAAACCCTGTCTTGGAAAAAAAAAAAAAAGGAAATGATCTCTTTATGATCTCGGAATAGGAAACTGTTTCTGAAAAAAATAAAGCACACACACACAAAGGACAAAGCATGAAGGAAGATTCTGCCAAGGTTGACATTTGATATGCATATATTTAATTTAGCTCACATTGTGAAAGAACACAGCGTGAGAGGCTTAGCTAGGCTTCTTCCTCTGACTCTATGGTATAACTCAGCCATGAGGAAACTTTAGGAGAAGAGACATCAATATGTGTGTTTTAAGCTGCCCTGAAGTGGTGCTACCTTGAGCCTTACACAAGGTCGAGGTGATCAGATCAGAGTCACTCTATGATTTTGGATGACTGCAGGATAATTCATAAATGACAGCTCCCACCCATCCCTGGGTCTGCTCTCCAAGGCCAGCACCCCTTTGTGATCACTTGTTTTCTTGGTGATTTTAGATTGCCAAATAATGTGCGTGTGCTGCCGTCTCTCCATTTGCCATTTGTGACTTAGTTTCCTCACTGTGCTCAGTGCTCAGTTTGTGGAACTGCAGCCACTCTAGGGATAACACATTGGAATTTTAAACTGTGCTTAATGAGTCCCATAAACAAAGTGAAACCATTTCCAAAAAGGACATGGAAAGAAGGGAGGTATTTTGTCATAGATATAACTATCAAATGTTTAAAATCCAGAAAATATTGAAATCACTCTAAATAAGCTATGTATCATCTATTTATCTATCATCTATATCTATCTGCCATTATCTATCATTGTCTATCTATCTATCTATCTATCTATCTATCTATCTATCTATCTATCTATGGGGGGCAAGGAGATATGTAGAGGTCAGAGGACAACTTGTGGAAACCGATTCTATCCTTTTACCATGTGGTCCCAAGGAAAGAACTTAAGTTGTCAAGCTTGGTACAAGTACCCTTACCCACTGAGATATACCTTTGGCCTTTAAATAATTATTTTTTTAAAGCAAACACTCGGTATAAATAATAAGCAACAAATGCAAATGGCAATTTAGAGAAGAGGAAACTCTACTGAACAGCAAGCACATGAAAAGACCATGTCTTGGTGGTGATTAGGTTACTACAAATTTCACACCTCTCCACCAGCAGCTTATTTGCTTCTGGTAAAATAAACTATTCTGGTCAGTAATTTGGCACTATCTCTTAAGAATGGAGGTACAGCTGTTTTTGGGTTCTGTTACTTGAACTTCTAGACCTAGATACTAGGAGACAAAAATAGTCATTGTTGCCAGTTTTCAATGACAGAAACTTGTCAGGAACCTAGCTCTCACCAGCAGGAGAATGGGTAAACTGTGGTATTGAGTGCCCATTCAACTGCAACTTACATGTCAAGATACATGGATCTACAAACAGAAAACTATCTAAAGCAGGTTGCGGGATGCTGTGTAGGGTGTTGTATCATTTTCCTCCCTCCGGAAAACTATCTGTGTGTTCTTTGCGGATCTCTAAGTGTACAGTAGCAGTATAAAATACGTGTGAGCAATAACAGATTCAAGATTAGTGATTATTTAAAGGGATGAACACGGAGAACCAGGGAAATGACAGAAAGGAAGGGAACATGGGACTTAATATTTGCCTTCAATTAAAAAACATCTGATTTGCTGGGTGGTGGTGTCACACGCCTTTAATCCCAGCACTGGGGAGGCAGAGGCAGGCAGATCTCTGTGAGTTCGAGGCCAGCCTAGTCTACAATGCTACACAGAGAAACCTTGTCTCTAAAAAACAAAAACAAAAAACAAAAACCCAGAAACAAACAAACCGAACAAACAAACATCTGATTTAAAACAATGTTAAGCATATCATAAAACTATATGGTAAGAATACTAATGTTCATTTTAGAATACTCTCATTTTCTATAAACTAAACAAGTTTGGCCAGAATTAAGAAAATCCAAGATTCTATCAAATGCAGTTAAGTAGGTTACCATATATCAAGAGTTTCCTTTGTCTCCATCCTGATAGTTTTTTTTTTTTTTTCTCATAATGGCCATTGGAGATGACTAGCTCTGGGCCTGAGCCAGTGGTATATACTCCCTGAGACTTAACTTCCCCCCACATATTAGCTGCCAAGAATAAACCTTCATAGTGCCATTGGAAGGTCAAACAGCTTACCTGGTACATATCATAAAGTAGTCTGTTCTTGACCACTCCTCATTCTCTAATCTATGTACATCAAGTCTCTGCTGTACCCCTGACACTGATGGCCACAGAATGAGGACTGGAGGGTCCTTAAAAAATTCCTCTCTTTCTCAACCCCGCCTCCAGTTTTCCTTCTATATTTATCCTCCCCTGTGGCCATGACACCTTGGCACTGGACTACTTTTTGCCCAATAACCCTAATGATGGATTTTAAAGGACACAGTAGCCCCTACCAAGTCAGGGCCTTGATGCATTCCTGTAATCAGAGAACCACAGAGTGGTTGTAGGCAGAGGGCAAGAGCTCTACAAAATTCCTGTTCAAGCAGAAACTTTGTAGAGCTATTTAAAATGAGCAGAACTATTGAGTGTGTTGATGGTTTCTAAGGGGTTACCTGGACAAATACTACTAGGCAAGCCAATTTTTACCATCCAGGGTTTTCCATTCTAACTTACCAGTTCATGGATGTTTTATTCCATCCATGTTGACTTAGACCAGCATCCTAGCAAATAAAAACAATCCCTCCAATATGAATGCTTAAGTATCTGATGCTATCCTTTGACTTTTTTTTTTAAACTGTAACTGGGTGGATCAGTCATTGTATAATTCTTTTTTTTTTAAGATTTTACTTATTATGTATACAACATTCTGCTTCCATGTATACCTGCACACCAGAAGAGGGCACCAGATCTCATAACGGATGGTTGTGAGCCACCATGTGGTTGCTGGGAACTGAACTCAGGACCTCTGGGAGAGCAGTCAGTGCTCTCAACCTCTGAGCCATCTCTCCAGCTCCCATTGTATAATTCTTAAGCTAACAAATTACCATTAGATATCTGATGTATACATATCTCTTTCTGCAATGTAAGCTTCACTATCTTACTTTCAGAGAACATCACACTGCATAATAATTCAACAGCAACTTGAGGAGCAGATGGATTCCAATCCAGTTCTGCCATTTAACTGCATGGCTTTGCATGTTTCTGTGATTCCAGAGTCTCATTTTCCTTTTTGTAACAAACTACTATGTTTATCTCGTGGCTGAGATGTAGCTTATACACAATAACCTAATAGAGTGGTTGCCACGGAGCACCTACTCACTGTACATCTAACTTTGTTGTTCTTATTTAAAAGTGTTAGGCAAGGTAGGCTGAAACACAGATGTTGTAATGCCATCTGTGCTGGGTGGTTTTAGACCCTGGGGATTGTTGAGCACAGGCACTGATACATGGGACAGTCTTTAAAATGACTGCTTACTTTCCTTTTTAGGAATTATCTACATTCTAAATGAAGAGCACACCTTGAAAATCTCAAATTTTGTCCACTTGGACAAAATTTCTAAAAACCTTGTGCTAAATGAGCCTCAAAACATTTAGGGAAATAATTCTGTTACTGCAAATTTACTATTTCTATTCTGTTCAGTTCTGTCGCTGGGATTATACCAGGTACATTGGCAGACACCATGAGCTAGAAAGCACATTGCCTGCCATGGGCATACTTAAAGGCTGTGTGATAGAAAGGATGGAAATGAGTGCCATTGTGTTGACACAAGCTGGGAATAGGGAAGAGTACCGAGGCAAGGATGGGGCTGCCTGGAACCTGAAAGCTCAGGCACATTTGGAGGGGCTCAGCATGTGTCATTTTTTATGGTGACATATGCACGGAAAAGAATTAGTGGGAATATGGCAAAGGGCAGACAGTTCTAACCATAAGGGAGAGGAATGAGGTCCCGAACACGTGGTTAGAGGACACACAGCATGCAGTCCAGGTGGAGGGGAATCCACAAAGTGATCTGACTCCATTTCCCTTTTGATCTTTTCTCTCCAGGGTCTTTCCACCTAATTCACTTGATGTTTGATGACTACGTGCTCTATTTACTAGAGTCGCTGCATTGTCAGGAGCGGGCCAACGAGCTCATGCGGGCCATGAAGGGAGAAGGAAGCAGTACTGGTAAGCTGGAGCCTCCATGGCCATGTCAGAGCTTAGCACTCTTTATTAATGTACTCTCTCCTCTTCTGTTTCCTGAATCCCACACACCAAAGACCTAGCTGTGGTGAGGGGGTCAGATGCTGAGAAATCAACACCACCTTCCTCTTGAGAGTGCACCTGTGTGTATGGAAACCACTGAAGGGCTTAAGCAGAGAGTAACCAATACAACACAGATTAGAAAGCATATTTCCTTTTTTTGTGGTTCTGTAAAGGGAACTGGACTTGACCTTGGCATCTAAGGACTTATCTTTTCTCTGTTTGTAGCGGAAGTCCAGGAAGAGATTATCTTGACGGAGGCTGCCCCACCCACCCCTTCATCAGTACCATCATTTTCTCCAGCAAAATCTGCCACATCTGTGGAGGTGCCACCTCCATCCTCCCCTGCCAGCAACCCATCCCCCGAGTACACTGGACTTAGCACAACAGGTAAGCAGAGGGTCTTCAAAGTGCTAGGTGGGGAGAAGATATTGAAAGCAAGAAATTTTTGGAAAACAGTCTTCCTCAAAAGACAAAGAGAAATACCAAGACTTGGGAATCTTCTTGGATTTGTGGGATTCTTACAGGCCTCAAATTACTCATTAGTACATCTTCCATATGTTGCTGCTTTCAGTTGGCAGATTAAACACATGATAAATCTCTATTCCCCAAAGTAGGCCACTGAAATGATTAATGTTACATGAGTCAGTATGTAGGCACTCTTGAAAACAAGAAACATGAGCCCAGACCTGAGCACTGTCTGTGGGAAGGTGAACAGGCAGGAGGCCATGTGAAGCCATACTAAGACTGAGTGAGGCAGCATCTGTGAGTGGAGTTGGTCTTAGGCCACCCTTGGGCCACCCAGAGCATGACTGGTAAAGCGGATGCTGTTAGAAGGCTGTTCAGAGGGGAACCACAGCATAAGATCCACACTGTGTTCTCATACACCAAACCACACCCAATAATCACCCAAGCCTAGGTAATTAATCATTCATATCTAAAACAACTGAAAGAACCCCAACTAGATATTTGTATATCAATTTTCACAGAAGTATTTATACATGTCAAAAGGTGTAAAGGACCATGTGTGTAAAATAGAAGCTAGAGGCAGGGGATAGGGATACAGGGTGACAGAGTTTCAGTTTGGGAAGATTAGAAACTTTGGAGATGAATGGTGATGGTAGACATATGACCCAACAAACTCCCAAATTGCAGCTAAGCTGAAAAGGGTTTAATTGCTAGATTTTAGGTTAAGGTGTTCTCTCTTTCTCTCTCTCTCTCTCTCTCTCTCTCTCTCTCTCTCTCTCTCTCTCTCTCTTCTCTCTGACACACACACACACACACACACACACACACACACACACACAGCATTGCTGTTCCATGGGAGAAGAGTGGCTTAACACAGTAGGAAGGGGAGTTATGAGTTATACTTATGAGAGTCAGAGATCTTCAAAGAAATAAATAGCTGTTGAAAGAGCTTTCAACAGATTTCAACAGATAGGTTGAAAAGAAAACAAAATACAACTGAAAGAGAACTAAATGAATGAGCTAAGAGCTTCTCTGATAGTACAATCAATGCAAAGAAGTAAATGTTAAGTATGAGAGCCATGCTAAGAGAAAGCCGACACGTTCAGATGTGTTGTTACTGTTCTGAGACAGCATCTCTCTGTGTAGCCCTGGCTGACCTGGAGCTCCATATGAAAAGACCAGGCCAGCCTCAAATTTGTTGTGAACCTACTTCCTTTGCCCCTGAGTGTTAGGATTGCAGGTGTGTGCTCAAACCAACGTTCACATTTTAAATAAGTGTTCCAAGAAAGAGCAGGGCGAGCTGGGCGTTGGTGGAGCATGCCTTTAATCCCAGCACTCAGGAGGCAGAGGAAGGCAGGTGGATCTCTATGGGTTCCAGGCCAGCCTGGTCTACAGAGCGAGTTCCAGGACAGCCTCCAAAACAATACAGAGAAAGCCTGTCTTGAAAAAAAAAACAAAGAGAGAAAGAGTGGGGCACAGCAACTCAGGAGGCTGTAAGACAGGAGAATTGCTGAGTATTTAAAGCCATACAGGGCCTATGGGGTGGGTGGGATGGGTGGGATGGGGCTACAGAGTAAGCTCTTGTCTCAAAAATAATAAATTGAGGAAAGGAGGGAAGGACAGGGAGGAAGCAAGAAAGGGAAGAAAGAAAGCATTGTGCTACTAGAATGAAAGAAAAGCTCAGGAGGAAGGGAGAGAGGGAAGAGAGACAGAGAACACTAATAGTTTAATGGTTTTATGGAATACAGAGATAAGACCTAGGGTAACAATATCCTTTCCTTGACTCCTGAGGTGATTAAATGGGGGTGCAGGTGAAAGTCATCTCTAAATTCTGAATAAAATCAAAGAGATCATATCAGCTCCAAAGAGAACAGATAATCACCAAAGGAGACTGAGCTTGATACCAGACTTTTCATCAACAACATCAGACTCAGTATCTGATGCAGTGTTTAACATGCATTGAAAATCTTCAGTACAGAGTCCTATTTCATAGTTTGTACATGGAGAGAGGCAGTACGAGTGCATGGATACATAAATATTTTTAAAGTGCCAAGTCCTGTGCTAAGTGCTGTGTATGGTATGAATATTACTATGCAAGGCCTTGCTACCAAAAGGCCATACATAGGGATGAGAGAAATAGACACTCATAGAAAACAGCATAACCAAGGTATGAACTAATGTTACAGGGCTGTCAAGGAAGGAAGTCCATGCTTGGAGGTATCAGGAGAGATCTCACAGAGGAGTGGTGGGATGGGTAAGGTGCTGTGCCATCCCGTTTATTACCAAACCTTAAGTCTCTCTTTTTCCTCAGCCCTTTTGTTAGATGGCCTTGGTGCTATGTATTATGTAAGGAGTTATTACAGCAGAAAGTCACTTCTTGCATGCACACAGCTTTGGTGGGGAATTCTGTCGCAAGGAGAGCATTTTAAATGCAGCCATTTGGAAGTGCCCATTGTCCCAGATTCTAGTGGGTCCCCAGACCAGGAGTGCAGCACAACTTAACAGACAGGCCCACTGACTTGGAAACTCTGGGAATCTTGCTGAACAAACATTCAGACACTCATGGGGAGGGGACTAAGAGAGGAAAAAATGATGTTTTTTGCTCACTGACAGCAAAACATGTATGTGCTATTCATGGCTCTAGCACTTGGGTTCTTCCTAGATTGGAGTGTTGTATCAGCATCCCTGGGTCTCCTGCTTCACCAAGGAAGCAGCGGGCCAATGAGCTGCCAAGAGCCACTTCCCTGAACCATGCTCCTGACAATTCCACCATCACCAAGGCAAACGCAGAATCACTCATGGCCATCCTGTCTTCTAAAATACACGGGAAGTTTTGCGCACCAAACAGTGTGATCAGGGTGAATGGCTTCCTCCCAGCATGGCCCATCAAACCAACGGAAGGTTGGGAAAGGGGAAGGTGTGAGTAGGGGGTGTGCAGGGAAGCCTAATGGGAACATCTCAGACTCATGCTGCCAGTAAGTCTGCCTGGCTTTCTTTGTATCGAGTTGAAGGCCTCGAGTTAGGGGCAGGTGTGACGATGACCAAGGCCACAAGAATATCATAAAAGTGTTGAGAGATTTCTGTGCAACGTGCTGCAGGTCATAAAAGTCCCTTCTTAGGAGTACAAATGTGAAACAGGCTCTCTTCAGACGCCTGCAGGCTTTGAAGATTCTGGCACATTCCAGCTTTGTTCTCAGGTATCTCCAGAGGGCATTAAAATGTCATCCTGCATAAGTGTATCTTTGCTATTTTTCTCTGGTACCACTTGTGAACATGGATCAAATCTGGATCCAGAGACTGGACCTTGCATGCAATGGGCTATGGTCTGAGAAGAGACACACATAGTTTCCTAAGAGGCTGCATGGTTTTATGCATGTGCTATACATGTATTATTATAGAGTTCTTAACTTTGTGGTCTTATACATACTTTCATTGAATAATATTATAACTTAGAAAATGATTGTGTAAATTTAGTAAAACATACCCATGTTCTTTTAACTCAGTATGTGATTTTTAATGCCCAGTTAGTTTTATTAAATTTCTGTTTTATATTCTATCTACTTTCCAAAAAGCTAAAAACAAAAATTACATTTATTTGCATGTGTGTGTGCACATGTGCATGTGTATGTGTGTGTCCATGTGCATGAGTGAGTGTGTGTGTGCCCATGTGCATGAGTGAGTGTGTGTGCCCATGTGCATGTGTGAGTATGTGTGCACATGAGCGTGTGTGTGTGTGTGTGTGTGTGTGTGTGTGTGTATGTGTGTGTGCACTTTTGCATGTGTGAGTCTGTGTGTGCACATGAGCATGTGTGTGTGTGCACTTTTGCATGTGTGTGAGTGTGTGTGCACATGAGCGTGTGTGTGTGTGTGTGTGTGTGTGTGTGTGTGTGTGTGCACTTTTGCATGTGTGAGTCTGTGTGTGCACATGAGCATGTGTGTGTGTGCACTTTTGCATGTGTGTGAGTGTGTGTGCACATGAGCGTGTGTGTGTGTGTGTGTGTGTGTGTGTGTGTGTTTGCATGTGTGAGTCTGTGTGT